CCCATCCTGAATTTAAAGTAGAAACTGACCCAAAACCATAAACTCGGTTTCCTTTAAGTCACTCTATTTTTCTTTCTTCTAAAGAACGTCTCGTGATCCATTTCTTCCCATTGTTTGTTTAAGTCACATTATGCGGCACACCTAGAAGAACAATTATCTTGTTCTGGCTTTGACCACACACACACCACGCTGAAACTGGTAATTTGGCAAGATCTATGACATCATTCCTTTCCTGGATTCTAAGTGACTGTCTGCGGTTTTTACAGTTTCCTTGGACGTTTCGGACCTTGGTGCCCCGACTGGTCCAGAAAATGTCACATTTTCTGCATTCTGAATGTATTTGTTAACCTTCTTTGCTCCAACTATTCCTGGAATTCGTGTCAGAGTGCATCATTCACATTCCCTGACCGCAGCCACGGAGCAGTTGGGGCTATAAAATTGCTTGAATGTGCACACGAGATCTGGCCTGAGGCCGGTGGCCCCGTGGGCTGGAAGATTGTCATTTGTGGTTACCGCTCAGCGAGAAGGCGGCACAGTGTGCGATCAAAGTGTGGAGCGTATGTGCTGCCCATGGATAGCCATAGAAATAAACATTGTGCGGACTAAACAGCGACAGGTGCAGCATAGATCCTATTCCCATGTGCAGCACATGTATGCCCAGATTTAACCATTTCATGGAAGGGGTCTATTTTGTGACCGGAGGGTTGGGCACAATGTCGCAGTCGGGGCTTATGTACTTCGCATTGCATTAATGTTTGCTAACAAACATGCATGCGGTGATGTACATTCAGGGCAGCCATCAGAAATTTTGGGGCCCCTTACACAGCTTTAGGCCGGGCACCCCCACACCGCTGGACGCAGGGCTTAGTGACTCGCTGGACACAGGACCCACCTGAGAGTGACCCTGCAGAGCCCACCATAGATGCTGCACAGCCCACCTGAGACTGTCTATGGTGGGCTCTGAAGGGGTCTCAGGTTGGCTGGTCAGGGCTGCATCCCTCCCTCCTTTCCTTCCTATCTCCTCTTACCTGCACACATGGCCTCGTCTGCTGCCGGACCGGCCAGAAGTGACGTCCCTTCCGGCCAGTCCAACATCAGATGAGCAGCGCCGCTGATGGGGCCCTAGCTTGCCTCAAAGCCGCGGCAATGCTGGGGCCCTGCGCTGCTGGGGCCAGGCCTCCACCTCCTCGCCCTTCACCGTCGGCCGATAGTAATGTAAGGGACCCGGGCGGGCCCCCTAGGCTGCCCGGGCCCCTTACATGAGTATCGGCCGTACCCCCCTGATGGCTGCCCTGTGTACATTGTGAAACAATTGAATATGACCCCTAAATCTCCAAACTATAAAAACAACCCCAAAACACACCTATGCGTGTATACCTACATATATCAAGCGTACGCATAAAATACAATAGTTATGGTGCAAATAATATTAAACAATGTGAAATAATGTGCGACTCAATATTCGAAGATATGCAAATCAATCAGCATAAAATCATCAAACAATGTGAATAGTGTTTTGCCCCATAACTATTGTATTTTATGCGTACGCTTGATATAGGGTGGTATACACACGTAGGTGTGTTTTGGGGTTGTTTTATCGTTTGCTTGGAGATTTAGCGCTGATCGATTGGTTATCTCTAAGCCTGATGAAGGGGACCCTGTGAGGCCCCGAAAGCGCTTGCCAATGAGCTACAGCTACTGGCAATAAAATATTTTGCTTTTTCAACTCATGGTGTGCTGGTGAGATTTTTCTATTGTTCATGTGTGGCGGTGCCATCCGCAGTCATTTCGAGCACCCATCTTCATCAAGTGGGAATCCCGGTAAGGAGTGCGGTATGGTTCCTGTTTCTGTTTAGCGCTGATCGAGGCGCTGTAAAAATGCTCAAACAGTGAAATCCCATTAATTCCAATGGGCATGGTTCCCACCTGTGCGTATTTCAGCGATTCGCAACGCGCTGAAATACGTCCAATGCCCAAACCAGTACAGGAGCTTCTTTTGGGGCATTTTTCTGCACGTATCCATTAGGTTACAATATATGATAGATTTAGTAAATGTGCGTTTCGTTGACCGCAAATCGCGGTAATAACGCGCGCATTACGAACGCCCAGGTGTGAACCCAGCCTAAGGGGTCATATTCAATTGTTTCACAATAAGGGGAGATAGCGCGGTGTATTGTTTTAGCACTCGTGGCCATATTGCTTTGTTGGTCTTTCGCTGCAGCTGTCGTTTATTTATAAATAAAAAAGGGGGGGGGCATCCACAACCGCGAATACTAGTAGTTATAAGCAGGGCCGCCATCAGGGGGGTATGGCAGATACTCATGTAAGGAGCCTGGGGGGCCCGCCCAGAACCCTTACATGAGTATCGGCCGACGGTGAAAGGTGAGGAGGCGGCCGGGGCACACAGCTCCGGAGGAGGCCTGGCCCTAGCAGCGCAGGGCCCCAACATTGCCACTCAAGCGGCTTCGAGACAGACTGGGGCCCCATCACCTCCCTTCTCTTCTGGTGTCGGACCGACCTGAAGTGACATCACGTCATTTTCGGCCAGTCAGGCGGCAGAGGAGGCCAGGTGTACAGGCACCAGGAGCAGGTAAGAGGAGCTGGAAAGGGAGGGATGCAGCCCTGACCAGCCTACCCGAGACCCCTTCAGAGCCCACCATAGAGAGTCTCAGATGGGCTGTGCAGCATGTATGGTGGGCTCTGCAGGGTCACTCTTAGGTGGGCCTAAAGCTGTGTAAGGGGCCCCAACATTTTTGATGGCTGCCCTGGTTATAAGGTGATGTACATTACCCAGTCAACGCAAGAGCTGCTAACACACCTCAACATGTCAAAAAAAAAAGACAACCCTGCATGAGCAGGAGTTGCATCATCACGGCCCGACCAAACAAGATGACCGAAGACACCGGACCTGGAAGAAGAACGGGTAAAGATGTGGCGGCTTGGCGGTATGATACAATGTAGGTGCATTGCCTTCGTGCATTGTGCTGCCATTCAAAATGAATGGCTCTATAACGCAGTAACACATTTGACATGTTTTACCAGGCACGGCGGTAACGTGCACATTACCATGACACGGGGGTGTAAATGGAATCTCAATTACCTGTTAACTGCAGAGAGATTTTTCTCTCCTTTCTTGAAAGCAAAGCTGCAGCCGGACAGCGCAGCCTTGTCAGGAGATCACGGTCAGGCGGCAATGATCAGCAGTTGGGTGTAAATGGTTTCCAGCCACTTTGCTGTGAACTTTATTGCCAATAACAGCAAGTGTAGAGTGTCATGTGAGAGTGTGCACCTGCACTACTTGAGTGCGTCCCCACAAGTGCATGTGGACAGGGGCGTATTTACCGTGAGGCAAACAAGGCGTTTGCCTGGAGCGGCACTTTGCAGGGGAGCGGCATTTTTCGCCCCCCTGCAAAGAGGAAAGCTGGCGGCGGGTGCACAAAAACAGGGTAGTCCATGTCTCGCCGCCAGCAGAGCGCCTGGCAGTACAGTAAGATGTCGGTCTCCTCCCACACAGGCGGCCCAGACAGCTCGCCCCGGTGGAGGGCAGTTACCCACTGCAGCATATCTATGTTTTAATGGCTTCTCTAGCCGGTGGCTTTAGTGCCTTCTAAGGTCACCGGTATGCATGGAGTATGCACATCAGCAGGGAAGGCCGGCTTTCCATGCTGGTTCTGGATCATAGTCTACAAGCATTGAAGTCAGAGACAGCCTTTGGATCTCCAGCAGCCAACCATGGCTTGTCAGGGACATTGGGTTGGAAGATTTACATTTGTGGTTACTGCTCAGCGGCACAGTGTGCAGTGTATGTGCTGCCTATGGATAGCCATAGAAATAAACATTGTGTGGACTAAACAGTTACAGGTGCAGCATAGATCCTATTCCCATGTGCAGCACATGTATGTACAGATTAACCATTTCATGACAGGGGTCTATTTTGTGACCAGAGGAGGGGGGTGGGGGGGATTGCTAATTTCCAAGTTCTGTACAACACTGCAGGTAAAGGGAGGTTCCGTGACGGAGCCATAACAGGGGTTAGACCAATGGCAGAGAATGGAGCATCTGGGGAGAACAGGGAAAGGAAAGTATCAGAGGGTAGGGAAGGGCAAGCTTTCAAGAGAACCTGTCACACTTTCAAGTTCCCAGTTTCGCTATGTAGCATTGATTCTGGGAGAAGATGAAAGGGCCATTATTCTCTATGGCCCCTGTGAAGCTAGAGTCATCTACACTTTAGGCACGCTCTACAACACCCAAAAGTGCTCATGAAGGGCGCTATGGCATCACTGGAATGGTTTTCC